CCAAGCCAACCTATCAAACCAAAGGCCTCCAAGGAGAACATAAAGAAAATCACCTTAAAATATATAAAGGATATCTCAGAAATCACTACAAGGCTCTTCAAACCTTTAGGAATCGACGTCGTACACAAACCAACAAAGTCACTTCACTAAATTCTATGTCAACCAAAAGACTCAACAGAGAAAGAAGATAAAACCAAAATCATCTACAAAATAAATTGTAACAAATGCGAAAAACATAAGCCAAAGTGGACATGCCTTTCATCTTCGTATCCACGATCATAAGCTAGCCGTCAAAAGACATGATATACACTCCCTCATTTCACTACACACAGACAACCACGGACATCAATTCGACTGGGACAACGTTCAAATATTAGACAGAGGAAACACCAAGAATGCTGGCCGGAGAATTTTTAGAAGCCCACCTGGTATTCTAGTGAATCGTCAATCAATAGACACATTGAGATAAACAAAATTTATCGACAGATAAGAAAGAAACCTCACATACAAAGTGTCAAAGTTCAAGCCAAAGGAACAATCAGTTCCAATACAAGTGACCTAGAAGGTGTGAAAACCCCGACCGAAAGCTGCTACCTTGACGTGGTGGTCGGGCTTGAACACCGCAATGACCTAATCAAGCTATACTGGCTGAGACTTATGTCTCTTGAGGTTCTACCATGCCAGGCAGGTTGTTTGGATAGCGGTTAAACAAAAAGCAGCTACCCAATCCAATACCATGTCCAATACAAATTCACAAAATTTCATGCCGGATCGGCCGTGGCCCGGATTAACAACGACCGCGCTTCCTGCTGCCGTGTCACAGGGCGGGAGTGATAAGTATGCTACTGAGGCACACCAAACAAAAAAGAACGAACAAAAACAGGCCGCGTGTGACCGGCCTCAAGCAGTTGTCCCCTGGGCTCTGCGGTCACGCAACCAACTTCCACGGTGTGGGCAGCCGGGAAGTAACAATCGCCCTCACAATCCGAAATGCACACAAAACCTCTCTAATCCTCACTTATCTTTGTCTTCATCTTCATCTCTATTACCTTACCTTCCCCCCAGTGATGCAACTCCTCTACTTGATGGCTCCTCACTCCCTCTTCACTCTGTGTCCACTAAAAACGACGAAAGCCAAAAAACCACCACGGATAGTCTCCTAAAGCCACGCCACCAATTTCATATAGGAGCATTTAATGTTAGGACACTTTGCCAAATAGGACAACAAGCATCACTAGCTAAGACCCTGGCATCTCGAGCCATTGATGTATGTTGTGTTTCAGAAACACGCATACAAGACCCAAGTGTGGTTATTCACCTAACCCCACCTGGCCAACAGGATGAATCTTCAAAATTCACCTTGAGGGTGTCAGGAGATGCCACAGCTAGTTCACGGGGATTAGCTGGCGTAGGGATAGCTCTGAGTACTAGGGCAGAAAAGACATTGCTTGACTGGATCCCAGTAGATAGCCGAATGTGTGCTGTCCGTCTGAACGGATCAGTAAGAAGGAGAAAGGACTGCACTACTCGCCGATGCCTTTTCGTAATCTCCGCCTACGCCCCCACTGACTGCAGTTCGGATGAAACGAAGGATGAGTTCTACCAAAAGCTGTCTAGTTTGGTGAGAAAGGCTAAACGCTCAGATATAGTCGTTCTAGCTGGTGACTTCAACGCTCAAGTAGGGAAATTGTGTCAATCTGAGAAGGATGTCGGTGGCACCTATGGAGTTCCGTGCCAGCGAACCGACAACGGTGACCGTCTCCTACAGTTCTGTTCAGATAATCATTTGTTTCTTGTAAGCACTAACTTTAAACACAAGGAGAGACACTGTTTAACCTGGCGACCCCCATCATCAAACCAACGCTGGACACAAATAGACCACATAGCAATAAGCTATCGTTGGCGTGGGTCGGTAGGAGATTGTCGCTCCTTCTGGAACACGTGTGTAGATACCGATCACGCACTGGTCCGGGCTCGTGTGTGCTTACGACTGAACGGACGTAGGAAACAGCTGGCGGTAAAACCATTACGCCCCCAGCTCGATCAGGAAACTAAATCCCTATTTGAGGAAGAACTAGCTAAACGCATATCTGAATCCGACAGCTGTGCTCACCCTGGAGAAGCCTGGAAGAATATTCAGTCAGCTATAGATACAGCTGTAAAAGCTGTGAATAAGACAAATCCAAAGGTGAGTAAAAACCACTGGATTTCGACTGCCTCATCCGAACTGATAGATGCTAGAAGACTTATTCCGGCGAGCTCCGAATTCAATGAGGAGCGAAAGCTGCACAAAAGGAAACTTACTAAAAGTCTCCGCAAGGACCGTGAACAGTGGTGGGTGACAAAGGCGAAAGAGATGGAAAAAGCATTGGCGATAGGCAACACTAGGCAACTCTTTAGACTCATCACAGAATCGGGCGGGAAAAGGCAATTCATAAGTGAGACTATTTCTGAGAAAAATGGCTCCTTAATTAGCTCTCAGGATAGACGCCTTGAACGCTGGAAAGAACACTTTGAGGAACAATTTAACTTGCCTACAGCCACACTGAACCTCCCCGCCATCCACCACGTACCCGAATGGGATATAGACACTGGTCCGCCGTCTGTAGGTGAGGTTACAAAAGCTATCAGTAATTTGAAACGAGGCAAAGCGGCAGGACCCGACGGAATTATTCCGGAGGTGTTTAAATATGGGGGTGACATACTAGTTTGTAGATTAACTGAGGTACTAGGCAAAGTCTGGGAATCAGAGACAGTACCATCAGACTGGGGTAAGTCACTTATTATACCGATATTCAAGAAGGGAAACAAGTCCTCGTGTGATAATCATAGGGGGATCAGCCTAACGAACATAGTCTCTAAAATCCTAGGCTCAGTAATCATGCATAGACTAAGCAGAACTCGGGAGGAACAGACAAGGGAAAATCAAGCAGGCTTTAGACCAGGTAGAGGGTGCATAGATCATATCTTCACTCTTCGACAGATTCTAGAACATAGACACACTTTTCGGCGTCCAACAATTGTCATATTTCTTGACTTGAAGGCGGCCTTCGACTCCGTGGACCGAAAGGTACTATGGCAATGTCTGACTGTGAAGGGAGTGCCAAGAAAGTACATTGCACTAATCAAGGCACTCTATTCAAACTCACGTAGTCGTGTAAGGGCTTATGGGGAATTGTCATCTGAATTAGTAACAACCAGTGGTGTCCGACAGGGATGTCCACTTTCCCCATTTCTGTTTAACTTCATCATAGATATGCTAATGGAAGTATCCTTAACTGAACGTAGTGACTTAGGAATCGACTTGTTACCAGGGAATAATCTAATGGACTTAGAATATGCAGATGACATAGTCCTGTTAGGGGAGGATGCTGACAAAATGCAGAGTCTTCTGAACACCTTGAGCAGCAATCTTCGTATGTTTGGCATGCGATTCGCCCCTGCAAAATGTAAGATGCTGCTACAGGACTGGACGACGTCAACCCCTAACTTAGTGATAGGGAGTGAAGTGATAGAACATGTTGACCACTTCACCTACTTGGGAAGTTGTATTAGCACCAACGGACTGATTGGCGATGAAATCTCAGCACGGATCCGAAAAGCTCGAGCTGCTTTCGCTGACTTACACCATCTCTGGCGTAGGCGTGACATCCGGTTATCAACCAAGGGACGTGTGTACTGCTCATCAGTTCGCTCCGTCCTTCTCTATGGCTCTGAAACATGGCCAATACGCGTTGAAGACATGAAAAGGTTGACTGCTTTCGATCATAGATGTCTGCGATCTCTGTCTCACGTTAGGTGGTTTCACAAGATAAGTAATGTTGACGTTAGGCGTAGAGTGTTGGGCAAAGAGGGAAAATCAATCGACGAGGTTATAAAGTTACATAGACTAAGATGGCTAGGTCACGTGGTGCGCATGCCTAACCACCGCCTCCCCCGACGGGCATTGTTAGCTGATATAGGTTCAGGTTGGAAAAGAGCCAGTGGTGGCCAAACAAAAACATGGCATCAATCCATGAAATCCTTGACAGTTAAACTGAGTCAGGTAGGGAGATGCAGACTCCCGGGTTGGGGCCCTCGGGACTCTAGGAATCAATGGCTGGAGACAATAGGTGACATGGCTCAAAATCGTTGTCAATGGCGCAGATGTATTCAATCTCTGTAATCTTTCATATTCCTTTCTACCATTACCCATTCTGTTTCACTCCTATATTTGTCAAACTCTATTAATTCTCTCCACTCATCTTCTTGTCTACCTCTGTGTGCTATTTGGAACGTGGCAACTCGAACTGCTGCACTTCGGTGCCAAGTTCTATGTTGAATCCAGACAGAAAACACACAAAAACAACTAATCACGTCCAAGGTGGTCACCAGGAGAGATGATTAATAAACTCGTGGAGAAATCTAAAAGCTCACTTCAATTTGAAGTATGCGCTGAAGATGTCGCCTAGTAGGGCGATGAAAGCTTTGCAAATAAACCATCCAGCTAGATCAGAGAACTCAACCACATCAAAAAAATCATCCACCCGAGCTACAAATCTTCTCTATCATATCTAACAAGCATTGAATTTTGAAGTCTCAACAGTGCAGATGTTGTTTTTCTACCAGGTGGTGTTGCTAGCCTTACACGCCTAACAGTCCTTTCCTGTCTGAACCTTACTGTCAACTATCAAGCGAAGCGATATTTAGAAGTGCATCACCGGGCTATACTTTTTAACCAATATAAATACGGTTGTACAGAATTTGAACAACAACGCTTCCTTCGCTAAGTTGACCCCAGTCTTCTCTACTTATTACTATCAAATCTTCAATTAAAACTACCTAACTACCTAGGGATAAATCACAGACAGCACCAATCATTTCCCAGTGGAACGTAGAGCCTCAAGCTACAGGCCTGAAATTTCGGTGGCAGTGGGGTATGCTAGCTTCATGCCCAACCTCCCCTCTTATTACTGACTTAACGAGGTAAAGGAATGCGCCTGCTGACCGGAGATCGAACCCCGAGCCACCTACCAACCGCCACATGGTGCCACGAACGCACGTATTAATCAGTCACATCAACTAAATTTTAATGATAAAAACCTGTAAATCAATATAATATCAATTCTTCTCCCAGTTTTTGTATATTTTTGTAAGAAAAAGGAAGTAAAAAGGAAAATAATAATCTATCTACAATAATGTAATTCAATATGTCCTGTAAACAGAATTACACATGTCCGTAATACAGATAAATATATATACATTAATTATTGGACGGAATTTTGAAACCTTTATGAACAGCAACAATACCATCTGAATAATTTATCCAGTCAACATTGCTAAATCCTGATTGTTCAATTATTTCAGCAAATTCTCTTTGATCGGGAAATTTACGAATACTCTCAACTAAGTATTTATATGAATTCCAGTCGCCTGCAATCAGTTGTCCAATAACAGGAATCATTTGCATTGAATAAGCATCATATATACTGGAATAAGAAATAATAACAATAAAAATAAGCTTTATTTTAGTTGGTCAGAATGACAATAAATATGTCACTGCATTACTCAACCAGTTGCAATGTGATACATTTGATAAAGAATGAACGACACTTAGCTTATGAAGGCTAGAGAGATACTGTAGTGAGAGCTGTCTGCTAGCCAAAATTGGTAGACAGTGCAATTTACGTCAGTGTGTTTACGTCCCAAAACTTGGTCATGAGGAAAACAACAAAAACAAAGGCCAACTCAACAACCAATTACAGCAGACTGCGTGGGCGGATACGATTCGCAGATATATGGTCTGACCTTCAAAGAAATGGCCACAAAATGAGATGAAAGATTAACTTTCAGTGAGATAACCAATCAGAATACGCTGTTTCTCTAATGCTTATAATAATAATGTACATAAAAATCTATTAATTTTCTCAATAAACGATCTGTGTTTCCTAGCCCTTGTCTTCTGTCACTACAATACTATCTGGCTGCCAAAATCTCTCTAGATGGGGTGAAGTTCAAGCCCATGACCCTCTGAAGGGAAGTCAAGTGTTTAAACAAATGAGTCACATATTGTAATATTATTATGACGACTTTTAGATGTTACCTTTAAACCCTGCATCGACCCACTCTACGAAAAAATAAAAGAAGTGTTAGCATTATATTCCTGTACCATATATATATATATATATATATATATATATATATATATATATATAATGAGTTAATCAGTTTAGGAGATCGTTAGTAGCCAATACATCTGCGACACTAAGAACTGATTTCCAGCCATATCACCAAACAGTTTCAAATCATAGGATATTAGCAGCTTGAGGACATCAGACGTACACTATACACCTTCCAACGTGGCTCAAACCAACAAAACAAAATCAAGCACTCCATGAATAATTGTCAGGGTGGGTTTAGTCTCCCATGTGTTTCACTTTCAATGGTTATATTTGACAGCCACAAAATTGGATAGAGTGAGCTACTGTCTGCCTGTCTATCTGTTTTCAACATAGAAATTTGCACCAATGTGCAACAGTTCAATTCTCCACACTCCCTCGTTGTAGCACACAAAGCGAGGGAAAAGCAAAACGAAATGCAAAATAGAGACAGTGGATAGGGATACGAAACAAAAGGAATAGTAATGACGAAGAACAATATAGTTATGTTGGGTATCATAAGTCACAAGGAGTGGATGCATCTGCACCAGCCATCACTGATAACGATGATTTTGAGCCATATCACCAATTGTCTCCAGCCTTCATCGGTTTTTATCGTCCCGAGGACCCCAACCAGGAAGTCTACACCTTCCCACGTGGCTTAAACTAACTGAACTACTAAGCCCGACCGAAAGCTGCTACCTTGACGTGGTGGTCGGGCTTGAACACCGCAATGACCTAATCAAGCTATACTGGCTGAGACTTATGTCTCTTGAGGTTCTACCATGCCAGGCAGGTTGTTTGGATAGCGGTTAAACAAAAAGCAGCTACCCAATCCAACATCATGTCCAATACAAAATTACAAAATTTCATGCCGGATCGGCCGTGGCCCGGATTAACAACGACCGCGCTTCCTGCTGCCGTGTCACAGGGCGTGAGTGATAAATCTGCTACTGAGACACACCAAACAAAAAAGAACGAACAAAAACAGGCCGCGTGTGACCGGCCTCAAGCAGTTGTCCCCTGGGCTCTGCGGTCACGCAACCAACTTCCACGGTGTGGGCAGCCGGGAAGTAACAATCGCCCTCACAATCCGAAATGCACACGAAACCTCTCTATTACTCACTCATCTTTGTCTTCATCTTCATCTCTATCATCTTGCCTTCCTTCCACTGATGCAACTCCTCGACTTGATAGCTCTCCACTTCCTCTCCACTCTGCGTCCACTAAAAACGATGGAAGCCAAAAAACCACCACCGACAGCCTCTTAAAGCCGCGCCACCAATTTCATATAGGAGCTCTTAATGTTAGGACACTTTGCCAAATAGGACAACAAGCATCACTAGCCAAGACCCTGGCATCACGAGCCATTGATGTATGCTGTGTTTCAGAAACACGCATACAAGACCCAAGTGTGGTTATTCACCTAACCCCACCTGGCCAACAGGTTGAATCTGCAAAATTCACCTTGAGGGTGTCAGGAGATGCCACAGCTAGTTCACGAGGATTAGCTGGCGTAGGGATAGCTTTGAGTACTAGGGCAGAAAAGACATTGCTTGACTGGATCCCGGTAGATAGCCGAATGTGTGCTGTCCGCCTGAACGGATCAGTAAGAAGGAGGAAGGACTGCACTACTCGCCGATGCCTTTTCGTAATCTCCGCCTACGCCCCCACTGACTGCAGTTCAGATGAAACGAAGGATGAGTTCTACCAAAAGCTGTCTAGTTTGGTGGAAAGGCTAAACGCTCAGACATAGTCGTTCTAGCTGGTGACTTTAACGCTCAAGTAGGGAAATTGTGTCAATCTGAGAAGGATGTCGGTGGCACCTATGGAGTTCCGTGCCAGCGAACCGACAACGGTGACCGTCTCCTACAGTTCTGCTCTGATAATCATTTGTTTCTTGTAAGCACTAACTTTAAACACAAGGAGAGACACTGTTTGACTTGGAGACCCCCTTCATCAAACCAACGCTGGACACAAATAGACCACATAGCAATAAGCTATCGTTGGCGTGGGTCGGTAGGAGATTGTCGCTCCTTCTGGAACACGTGCGTAGATACCGACCATGCACTGGTCCGCGCTCGGGTGTGCTTACGACTGAACGGACGTAGGAAACAGCTGGCGGTAAAACCATCACGTCCCCAGCTCGATCAGGAAACTAAATCCGTATTTGAGGAAGAACTAGCTAAACACATATCTGTGTTCGACAGCTGTGCTCACCCTGAAGAAGCTTGGAAAAATATCCAGGCAGCCATAGATACAGCTGTAAAAGCTGTGAATAAGGTAAACCCAAAGGTGAGTAAAAACCACTGGATCTCCACCGCCTCATCCGAACTGATAGATGCTAGAAGACTTATTCCGGCGAGCTCCGAATTCAATGAGGAGCGAAAGCTGCACAAGAGGAAACTTACGAAAAGTCTCCGCAAGGACCGTGAACAGTGGTGGGCGACAAAAGCCAAAGAGATGGAGAAAGCTTCGAGGATAGGCAACACCAGGCAACTCTTTGGACTCATCAGGGAAACGGGTGGGAGAAGACAAATCATTAGTGAGACAATCTCGGAAAAAAATGGCACTATAATTAGCTCACAGGATAGACGACTGGATCGTTGGAAAGAGCATTATGAGGAGCAGTTTAATTTGCCCACAGCCACGCTCAACCTTCCGAGCATCCAACACCTCCCTGAATGGGATATAGATACAGGTCCTCCGTCACTAACTGAGGTTACTAAAGCTGTCACCAATCTGAAACTAGGCAAAGCAGCGGGACCTGATGGAATGACTCCAGAGGTATTTAAGTACGGTGGAGACAGCTTACTGTCCGGATTAACTGAGGTACTAGGCAGCGTCTGGGAATCAGAAGAAGTCCCATCGGGTTGGTGTAAGTCACTGATTATCCCCATATACAAGAAGGGAGACAAGTCTTCCTGTGATAATCACAGAGGGATTAGCTTGACTAATATAGTATCTAAAGTCTTAGGCTCAATAATCATGCGTAGACTGAGTGGTGCTCGGGAAGCACAAACACGAGAGAGCCAGGCAGGCTTTAGACCAGGAAGAGGGTGTATTGATCATATCTTCACCCTCCGACAGATTCTAGAACATAGGCATTCCTACCGGCGTCCAACAGTCATTATATTTCTTGACCTAAAGGCAGCATTCGACTCTGTCGATCGGGAAGTTCTCTGGAGATGCTTGGCTGTAAAGGGAATTCCAAGAAAATATATTGCACTGATTAAGGCACTCTATTCGTACTCATACAGCCAGGTGAGGGCTTACGGCGAGCTGTCATCTGAACTGATGACGACCAGTGGTGTCCGTCAAGGATGCCCATTATCTCCTTTTCTATTCAACTTCATCATAGATGTGTTAATGGACTTAACCCTAGGTGACTTCAGCGACTCAGGGATTGACTTGCTACCGGGGAATAATCTCGTTGACTTGGAATATGCAGACGATATAGTCCTTCTAGGCGAAGACGCTGACGAAATGCAGAGTCTTCTAAACACCTTGAGCCGCAATCTACGAATGTTTGGCATGCGATTCGCTCCCGCCAAATGCAAGATGATGTTACAGGACTGGACTACATCGACGCCTAGTTTAAAAATAGGAAGTGAAGTGGTAGAGCACGTTGACCGCTTCACTTATTTGGGAAGTACCATCAGCCCCAACGGGCTGATCTCTGACGAAATCTCAGCACGAATACAAGGGGCTCGTTTCGCATTTGTTAGTTTACGCCGACTCTGGCGTAGACGAGATGTTCGACTATCGACCAAAGGGCGGGTGTACTGCTCATCAGTCCGCTCCGTCCTCCTTTATGGTTGTGAGACCTGGCCACTGAGAGTGGAAGACATGAAAAGACTAGCTGTCTTTGATCATAGGTGCCTGCGTTCTATTTCCCGTGTAAAGTGGCATAATAAGGTGAGCAACATGGAGGTTAGGCGTAGAGTTCTAGGTAAACAGGGGAAATCAATCGACGAAGTCGTGAAGCTACAAAGACTGAGATGGTTAGGACATGTGTTACGTATGCCAAGCCATCGCCTCCCTCGACGAGCAATGTTAGCGGATATAGGGTCAGGCTGGAAAAAAGCTAGCGGCGGTCAAACAAAAACTTGGCATCAGTCAATGAAATCCACAACAGTTGGTCTAAGCCACGTAGGAAGGTGTAGACTTCCAGGCTGGGGTCCTCGGGACGGTAAAAATCTATGGTTGGAAACAATTGGTGACATGGCTCAAAATCGTTCTCAGTGGCGCAGATGCATCCACTCCCTGTGACTTATGATCTTCAATGAAACTGTTTTGTTTTTCTTTATTACTCCTTTGTCTCACACCTCTGCTCACTGTTTCTATTATGCTTTTCTTGTACTTTCTTCTCTTGCTTCGCGTGCTACACGGAATGTGGCGACTTGAACTTCCGCACATTTGTGCAAAGTTCTATGTCGAAAACAGACAGACAGACAGAACTACTAAGCAGTATACATGTCCGTTGGTAGATAGTGCAGAATCATATGTATGTCAGAGATGATGTAGGTTAGTAAACGCCACACTATCCTTTTTATAACCCTGTCGAAATTCCGTTAGCAAACAGTCTATTAAGGCGGACAAACGAAGTGGCCAAAACGCCCAATAACTGCTATTGGTAAAATGCACTCAACAAAGCGAAAAACGCTAACCTTCGAAATATGCTGTTTTCAACTTTACTGAATTCTAAACAATAAAATCGACCCCATGGGCGAAGAACACGATGAGCCTCTGCAACAACCTACTAAAAGCATTGAAGAAATAATAAGCAAGCTTACCTTATCAATATACGTGCAGTTACGTATACCAAACGCAATAGTATACACATCGAATGAATTATCCTCAAACGGAAGGTTTTCAGCATTCCCCTCAACCCACTGTACTTAATAAATTAATGACAATAATTGTATTGAGAATGGTAAACATACTATTTTTAAAACCCAATTCTTCTGCACGCAGTTTGCCAACTTCCATCATCGATGGATTAATATCACAAACTGTTACTTCAGGTCCCATAATAGGCGGATTCAACTCAGAGTTCTCGGACACATTAATACATTTAGCATATTTCATTAATCTAAAGGCAATATCACCTATAAGTAAATATTGTAACTAAAAGCATATAAATGATTTCAACAAACCTGTTCCACCTGCAACATCTAAACATTTCAAATTATTTGTTGGCATAATCTGACTGACAAAACAATCTTTCCAGAATCTATGCACACCAAAACTCATCACATCATTCATTAGATCATATTTTTTAGCTACATTCTCGAATACATGATTAACTGTGTTTTAGACAAAAATGATAATAAATTATGATAATAATGATGAAAAGGTGACTTCCATGTTACCTTTCAACTGTTTTTCTTTAACTGGTACTGTTTCAAATCCAAAATGTGTAGTTGACAGAAGATTTTTGGGCTGATATAATACACTAAGATTAAAGGAGGCTCTTCGAGCAACAAGTGAAAGGATTCTCATCGTCCGTCATGCAGATAAAAACGCTATCATAAAGTAAGTAAAAGCGAAAATTATACACCTGAAAAGTCAACAGGGACAAAACTCAAAGAGAGCAAAACAGGTGTGGCAGTATAAAAGCCAAATACTACGGCAACATGGTGTACGGATGTGACAGCATACAACAATAAAATGACTGAGACTTCTAAGGGATGAGGATGGAAATGTCTGAAACTTGGTCAAGCACCATAAGCGATTACACCAGTTACCAATATCGAGATGATAAGCACTCAAAGTGTTTTTACCACCAAGGATTGTTCTTTATTGCGCAGAAAACATCGCTGAATTCAGCGCTATGAATAGAAATAACTTAGATTGGAATCTGGTTTTAATCAGAAGAACCAAGATGTATCTGTCTTATGTTAAATCTAAACGAAAATGGTGTCATAAGTACACATCACATACAACAACTTATTGCGATTACATGTGCTAAAGTACCTTTTATCTTGCCTGCAGCTCACTTATATGGCTAGTAAGAATAGTTTAAACTTCCATTGACTTACTAATGTTGATAACGGGAAATGCATTTGAGGGCGATTCATAACTATAGATTTGGATGTAAAACAGAACCTTCATATAATCCTGATATCACGTTTACGAAATATTTAAGGGTCAGAAACTCGCTCTAAGTGCTGGTTCGCCCAAAAGCATCTGATATGATTATCAACTGATATAAATGGAAAAATATATGTGCCAGATAGCTACCTATTTCGTTAACACCTTAGCCGCACCGTCATATGACATTGTACCCAACATAGCCCAGCTAGCATTTTTTTCGGGCGCATTGCAGACTTTTAGGGACAGAATTAGGGCGCACTGCAGACTCTTTGGGGCAGAATATGGGCACATTGCAAATTCCGAGGAAGACTTAGGGGGCTTTGCAGACTTTTGGGGCAGGCTTGGGGCAAATTGCAGACTTTTTGGGAGACTTCGGGTAGATCTACTTACATGGGACAGTGTCCCGAAGTTTGCCCCAAAAAGTCTGCAATGCGCCCGAAAAAAATGCTAGCTGGGTGGGTATAGAAATCATATACGATTAGTCCAAACGAAATATCCAATATCCTGATTACGAGCTAGTATAAACCAGTGATTTCTTTGAGCTCGCTTCTTGATTGTGAGGTAGAGGTTCCAGATCTTCGGTGAGCTTCTGCGTAGTAAGTCCCGCCACTCGACTGCTTTAGCTCTGGTAGACTCCAGGAGTAGTGCGGGGATTGGTCGAGATGTGGTTTGTTGTATGCAGTATTTGAATTCAGTATTTATTCAAATTTATCAAGGGGAATAAATGCATGAAGTATGCAGTATGTTAGGACTGTATTGCTGCCGTGAATGGAGTTTGACCTAACTCCCGTTGGTCATTCGGTGTAGTCATAAAAGCAGAATAATAATAATAATAATGGGTTGTAGTGTAGATAATATAGATTGAGATAAGTGGAATAATAAAGGTGACCTAAGGAAAAGATAGAGTGCGAGAAGGCAGAATAGGTCGTGGGGATTTAGTTTGTACGCTTATCCATTGACAGTGTGGTTTCAAGTTTTATGAGGATAAGCCATTGAGACACAAACCTTGCATTTCTGCATGATTGTCTAGCTTCCGCTTAAAAATCTCCAGAGATGGCGCTGTAGTCACGGCCGCCGGTAAAGCGTTCCAGAGACGGCAAACACGAAGCGAAAAGAAATGTGATCGCACTCGAGTCTTTGGTCTCTGGTGTGCTATCCTTAGCGGGTTACCTCGTGGAAGCCTATAATCACTTAATGGCAGGATGCTTTTATCTGGGTGGGCCTGGTCATTTAGGATTTGGTAGACGGTGATGAGGTCTCCCCTGTGCCTTCGATAACTAAGTGTGAAAAGACCTAATTTCTTTAGTCGTTCCTCATATGATTTGTTGCGGAGGCCGATCACCCATTTTGTCGCTCGTCTCTGGACACGTTCTAGAATGTTAGCATCCTTTTTTGAGTAGCGGAGGTGCAATGATATTATGCACCTCAAGGTGTGGCCTCACATATGCCTTATATAACCTTAAGAACAGTTCAGGAGTGAGAGGTTTCAGCTGCCTATGCATAAAGTGTAAAGTTGCGTAGGCTTTGGCGACGTCCCTCGAGTAATTCCCACTGGTGTCTAGCTTTTCTGTTAGAATAAGCATTTGTTTCTCGGTACTTCGGTGTCTGGTTGACCACAACAATTACCGAAATTTCAAGGATAGTGCCTACAGTATCGTTTTAGTAATTTTACTACCAAAAGCCGTCTAGAAACGTACATTACTAACTAGAAGGCAAGAAGTAACGTTTGATTCGAAAAGCCCACAAATCTCAGACTTTCAGATTTAATGGTTGAAGATGGAATGTTTGCAGCCTGTGTTAATCCTTTTCCAGTAAATTTCTGTGGTTGTCCAAACCCTTCTCCAATGAATCAGTTGAGGTTGCAGACACCACTTCTTCTGGGAGTCGTTACCAAGTGTTTATGACTCGGTGTGAGAATCAGTACTCAACAACAATATGATTTATTCTTAACTTTTGAACTCTCCTGCTAGATCCTCTACGGTGTTCTGATTTGGAGGGAAGGAGAACAGAGAATAGGTAAGTCCGTAATCATTATTTAAAATTTTAAACACTGATTAAATCTCCTGTCTGCCTACGGTATGGCAAGGAGAAGAGATTTAAACTGTCTAGTCTTTCCTCGTGTGATAAATTAGTCGTGCTGAAAATCACATGTGTTGCCTTCCTCTGAACCCTTTTAAGACAAGGACTGGCTGCCTGGATGCAGTTTTCAGTCTTGACCTCACCATGGATGTATATAAGGAAGTGAACGTATCTCGGGTGATTCTAGTAAAGGCTCCGCAATTCGCCGATAAGGGTCTGAAACTACGTGCAGCCACCGAGCGACAGTGTGCTGTAGTATTTAATTCCTGGCTTACTGTGATACGTAAATCCAAATGAGTTTGAACTGATGGGAGTGTTACTCCCTCTAGTTCGTAGGAGCTGATGCTAGCGTGTCTGATGTACATGGCTTCACTTTTTTTTCGCTACATTGATTTGAAGCATCCCTTCTCTAGACCATCCTGCAAATTTGTTGAGGTCTTCTTGCATCGTGGGCATATCACTTTCGCCCTTGAGCCCTTTCAAGAATTTTAAGTCACATGCACAGAGGACCATAGACGAATCAGTGGACAGAGATGACCCTTGTGGCCTGCTTAAATCTTGGGCTACCAATTACCTTAAACATTACAAATGATATTGCATCTAATTTCTCGTTTCTAATTGATTTTTTAATCAATAAATCTTATTCAAATATGGCCTCTAATCGGATTATTTATTCTCGTGAATACTTAATATCCTTAAAACCTACTGATCTGCAACTCCATAAAAAAGACAAGAAAAAGCATCATGCCGGCTGGCAGAGAGCATTAAAAAATACCCCTATTCAATTCATGACTGTTCCCGCAATTATGAGTACAAATTGTCGCTCCCTACTGGCTAAAATTAATTGTCTTCAATCGCTGGTGTCTTCCATTATATATCGTAATACTGGGATTATATCACTTCAAGAAACATGGTTACATGATCTATATGATGACAATCTAGTATATCTAAATGACTTCATATTGTACCGTCAAGATCGGTGTAGTTCCAGGAAGAAACGCGGTGGCAGTGTCGCCATTTTCATCAATTGACAATGGTGTACGTCTAACAATGTATGTTGCAAATTCCCCAGTGACAATATTGACTGTCTCACCGTTAAGTGTCGACCTAAACATTTGTCAAAATACAACTACATTTACATCTCGAACATTTATATTGCTCCTGGATGCAACTCCACAGAATTATCTTTATTTGCGGATGAATTTACCTCCCTTGCTGCCACCTCCTTCGGAAATTCCTTATCTAGAGTTACTAGAGATTTTAATTCTATTGATCACATCTTCCTAATTTCACGTGGACATGGTAACATTGTCAACTTCACAACTAGAATGAATAACACTCTTGATCTTGTGCTCACAAATGACACAGGAATATTTGAAGCTCGTAAAAGAGCCCTACTACTAAATTCAGATCACTGTATCATAAGAATATTGCCCAAAGTATATGGAAAGCAGCACAAAAGGGTGTTCTCACACCTTGGAAACAAAACACAACATAGATGTTATTCCCATGACAACATACTGAATCTAAGGTCCATGTTAAAAGACACTGACTGGGATTTATTTACTGACCAAGCTCTTGATAACACAATTACCAACATAACACATTATCTTAATTTCTGTCTTGATGTTTGTTGTCCAAAAGAGACAATCTTCTTAAAATTCGATCGCTTCTCCTCTTCTCAACTCAAAAAGCTCCGCCGTGAAAAAGAAAGGTTGTTCAAAATGAAAAACAAATCTGGTGTTAAGAGAATGAACACTTTGATTAAGCTTGAATTACAAAGATTGAATGCTCTCTATAACCAGAAGTTTCTTTCATGTTAATCCCCATCAAATATGTGGAAGTTATTAAAGGAAATCACAGGTGGTAAGCAAATGATGAATGATATTTCTGTAGATGTTAACATGCTTAATGAATCCTTTATGTATATCCCAGTAAATGTCATGATACCAAACTCAAATAGTGTAAATAATGACTGCTTCTCATGCTTTAACACGAATGATGTCCTCAAGTGTCTTCAATCTCTCAAGCCTACTCAGTCCCTCGGTCCTGATGGTGTTCCTGCTGTTATCCTTAAGAAGTGTGCCGACATCTTGTGTTCCCCATTAACTGACATTTTCAACGAATCGTTTTCCAAAAGTATTATACCTGAATCATGGAAAAATATCAAGATCGTTCCAGTGCCTAAATCAACAAGTGGACCTAATGTTAAGTTTAGACCCATTGCTATTACTTCACCTTATTTGAAAGTTATGGAAAGACTTATTTTACTTAATCTTGAACCCTCTTTAAAGCCTTTTAACGACCCCAACCAGTTTGCTTATAAACATAGTAGGTGTACGTTAGATGCCTCTGTTGTCCTACATCATAGTATAGTCTCTAGTTTAGATAAAGGAGCTAAATACGTTAGCTGTGCCTTCCTTGATTACACATCTGCATTTGACTCTGTTCCCAGGTCTCTCTTGCTAAGTAAGCTTGCTGCAACACAGGCTGAGAGCTGAACAAATAAGTGGTTGCATTCCTATTTTTCTGATAGGAAGCAGTACACCATCTACAATGGAAAGTCCTCCACTACCTCACTTACTTTAGCTGGTGCTCCTCAAGGTGCTCTTCTTTCTCCTTTTCTGTTTTCTTTTTTCTTACATTACTTGCCCCATTCTGATGAAGCCGCTTTTGTTAAATATGCTGATGATCTCTCTGTTTCTATGCCTGTCAACTCTCAGTCAGAGTTAGTCAGTGGTCCTCTTCAAACGGTCTTAAGCTTAATCCGGCTAAATGTCAGGTAGTCAATTTCAGTTTCAGACGTAAATGTGACCTACAGCAACTGGTTAGCTCACGTGGCCCCACTATCATTGACGGCACAGATGTTGAAAATACATCTAATGTCAAGTACTTTGGACTGAGTATTTCCTCCAATCTTTCCTGGTCCTCCTACATCTTGCTAGTTACTAGAAAGATGCTTCGCTTAACCTTCTACGTTAGGAAGTTAAGGCACTCTAGTATAAAGCAGTCTTTGCTTTCTCAGTTTGTCAATTCTTGTATTCTACTCATCCCTCTTTATTGTTCCCCATTCATCTTTTCTGGACTACTTAAGAAAGACTTTGCTTTGCTGAGAAGGGCACTAAAAGCCGCTAGTAGGGCAAGTGGGATATCGTTAAACCAACTGGTTAACACTATTGTGGACAGACATATAATGTCATGTAAGAAACTAGCGAATACAATATTGTCAGACCCCAAGCATCCTCTCTATACGCAGCTCTCTCCTTGCTTTTCATCTGGTAGAACTAGGAGCAGCTATAGGAGGCTATATGCTAGGACTACCAAGTACAAAAACTCCACAAAACCATATCTGGAACAGTGGTTATGTGATGAGAAATCCGTTAGGTATGACACGATAAACTTACTGCGGCACTCTAACAAATAGTCCCATTAGCTTTTGTTTTCCTTTCCTCGTTACTATTACACTGTTGTTCTCATCTTCTATCACACGCCAACTTTATATTTTATATCCTGTGGTACATTCTTTGAAATGTAAACTCTACGCTGTTTTTTCATTTTTATTTATCTTTTATTTTTTTGGCGTTGGTTTTTATTTATTGATTTTTGATTTTTAAAAATCTTATATAATTTATGAGGTAATTAGATGCAATATATTGTAATGCACGCTGAAAATTCCATACCTGTACCACAAATACCGTTTGGAATAAAGCTGTTATAATTAAAAAAAATTAAAAACTCATTGATGTACAAATTAAATAGGAGATGCCTGAGTACCGTACCTTGTGGCATTCCAATACGCACTGCTGTCCAGGAGGTGAGTTTCTAGTTGATCCTCATCCTCTGCCTCCTATCTATGAGGAATTTCCTAATCCATTTTAGTAACCTGCCTGCGATACCAAGACTTTCCAACTTCATGAGTAGTCTTTTGTGGGAAACTTTATCGAAAGCTTGGCTGAAGTATACGAAGACGACGACAACAGGTCTTCTGTTGACTCTTGATTTGACTCGGCTTTCTCCCACAATGAGAAGATTTGACAGGCATGAGAGGTTTCTTCGGGGCTATGCTGTGCTCCGGATAACAAATTGTTGTTTTCCAGACATGCCATGGTACTTTTCTTAATGATTCTTTCCAGTGTCTTTATAAGATTGCCGGAGAAACTTATAAGTCTGTAGTTTGAAGGGCATTGTCTTGATCCCCTTTTGTGGATGAGGGTTACTATATAGTCTTTCTTGCCACGAAGTAACACTCCATTTAGTAGAGATGCCTGGAAGATCGTGGTCAGTGGGTTGGCTATGTGAGCTGATAGCTCCTTAAGAAGCCTCGGATGAAGATTATCAGGACCCATTGATCTCCATGCATCTAGTTTCATTAGGCAGTTGAGCACGGTGTTTTGATCGATATTAACGGAGTCTATCCGTGTTACTCTGGTGCAGCCGGAGCTGATCCTCTGAAGAGCGACTATTCACGCGTGACCTCGGAGAGATAGTTTGTCATTACCTCTGCTTTTTCTCGATCTTCTTCGATTGTGTCACTTTCAATAGTCAGGTTTAAAGCACCACTGGATGTCCTATTCCTGAAGTTCATGTACAGGAAAATTTTCTAATGTTGTGCCGTTGCATTTGGAGACAGATGAATTTCTAACTTCATCCTCGTTTGGCGGTTTTCCGTAATAGCTCTATTTTTTTTTGATTTTTTTTTTTGATTTACAGCTTGATTCCACACTGTATTTTCGGTACAAGTATGGAATTTTCAGCA